AGGTTTCATAACTGGTATATTTTCTTCCACAATCTACCATTCAGAAGCAAATTGCTAATTCATTAGTAAAAAAGTTACACTGGTCTTAAGAGTGCCAAGTGAATTTGAAAAAAGATTCAAAAAAAATTTTTTCTTTCCCTCCATCATTGGAGAAGTATGTATTCATCCATCCCACGAAATTTTAAACCCGCAACCGGAACTAGACATCGAGAAAATAAATGCGGAAACTCCTCTATTTCGCGTGACGAACCTCGAGAAAATGGGATCAAATGGGTACGGCGGATGGAAATATCTCTCTTATTCACCCCGGTACCCCATTGTTTTTTGTCGCCATCACATTGAACACATCATTCCCCATATCTTCAAATTTTTTCAAATTTTTCCTGAGTTGCTAGGGGGTTGAAACGTTCAATTTAATCAAAACTCCATAAGAGGCCGTGTATAAGACTGATTTTGTTTATTTAATTACTCGGTATCCATAAGTTCTAAAATTTTAAAATTGTCACCGATGTTCACCATCTGTCTAATACTATTAATTTAAAAAATTATAACTTTGTTGGTGAATGTCAATTTTCCAGGTCATCGCCAAATTCACTTGGCACCCTTAAGTCCAGTTTAAGGAAAACTATTCAGGAGAAACAGAAAATTTAAATAATTTACTTACGACCGAGGAGACATCAACACTGATGTATCAGGAGCATAAACTTTTGTGATTTCAAATTCTACATTCATTTTGGTTTCGCTCAATCTAATTTAAAAGAAATTCAGTTGACTAAAAAATTTTATCTAAAATTGTTTAAAAAAAAATATTATTGAATTTCCCTGATGTTTAACTTCAGGAACGATTCCTACTAATTTGAAATTAATAATGACAGAAAACCGAATATGCACTTTTTTGTTTCAACTCAATTAATCCATTTGGAAGCAAATTGCTAACTTTTAGCAAAAAAAAACTATACTTGATTTAGACCTGTGCAATGGGCCACTATTGCGCTAATAAAAAAAAATATTAAATTGCATATGAAATTACATACAGTCAAAACGCCTTATTTCAGTACTAGCAGTAGATTTTTTTTTTGTCCACCGAGTTTCTCTCCATGTGCGTTATAAAAATCCACTTCAATAAAAATAGGAGCTGAGGTATTTGACAAAAATTGTGGTCCAATGAACCCATGTGTGCAAGTAAAGGGAGGGGTAAAAAATGACTGTGCCATTTCAGGGTTAATGAAAGTTTAAATTTCCAAACTCATTAGGAAAATTTAAAATTACGTCTAATTAAATTAGACAACAATCATCAATCATTGCGATTAGGACCAGAGAATCGTAATGGCGTTGAACTTTCGAGAAATTAACTGATTCGTCAAAAAAAACTGAGGATAAAAATTGCACGATTTTTTGCTTGAAATGTTTAATAATTTTCCAACAGTGTATCCTGTTTCTTTTGTTGATGCTTAACGAAGACCCCATTGCATCACAGCTATTTCAAATTTCCGGTGGATTTGAAAAATTCTTTAATACCTCAGACATTCCATTTGTACTGGATTTCTCATCAATGGGTTTTGATCGGGGATGATGAGGAGGAAGGGATGTTGGGGGCGGACGAGAAGGTTGACGAGGTGGTTATGCCCTGTGTATAATGCTAGATTGCAAGATACCAATGGCTTGAGGCACCCTTGGGCGAACCACCGAATAAGGTCATTCACAGTCCACTGCAACTCAATTTCAACGATAGTTACATAACGACTGGACATAGCACACGTATATTCCCCGTGGGGAAATGGTCGTGCTGTGGGTTTCTGCGAACCGATATATAACGCCGCCGTTGAAAAGCGAAAAGCGAATGAGGACGTGGTGGAAGGGTTTGCGGTTCCACTATCTTTGCGAATAGGTTTTTTTTTTTTCACTCAATGCTCGGGTTCGTTCCATTTCCTCCGACATGGCGCGAGTTTGGAGAGAATCCTCATTTTTACTTCTGGAGGAAAGTTTTCTACCCGGGGAAGTTCACCACGTTGGTAAACATGAAATATCAAAACCCCGGAAGTTTTTGGGAATGTGAAGGTGATGTGTGTGTTCTGAATTCAGTGGTGAAGGTTGGATTTCATATTCGAGGGATGAATTACTTCGGCATTCGGGAGGATGAAAATTCTTGTAAGGTTTTGGTGAACGGGGGAAGTTCTTTCAAGCGAGGTAATCAATTTCATATGCAGTCAAAAACTACTAAAATTATAGGGAATTCCAAAAATATTTTGGTACCGCAAAATCAGTTCACTCTCGGTAGAAACTCTATAAAAATTCTACTTTCAATTTGATGTTGCGATAAAAATACTCAAATTTAAATTGATATAAAATTCTATTCAATCATGTGATTAATTCATACGGAGAGAATTACATAGTAAGAATTATCATAGCCATATGAGAAAATGCTATGGCAAAATAGTCAAATTATTTCCAAGGGTTTTCCCATAGTAATGGCTATTATGTTACATAGGAATCTACCATATCCCTAGAAATGGTTACCATGTGATGGAAAATGATCCTATGAACCTAAGAAGTATATCTAAAATACACGGTTAAAATTTGCGATTGCGTTCATAAACTAAAGACGTTTAAGGCTTAAACTTTTTTAAAAAATTAAACAAATTAAACGGTTTATTTGAAATTTTCCTATTAAATTCTACAATAAATTCTACAATATTTTTGTTCGGAAGAAGTAGATCATCAAATAGAAATAAATATTCAATTCCTAGCGACCGTAATGGTTGGATGAGTTAGGTGTTGCTCCGGCGGACATCCGAGTGCAGCTGCGTTTACTGCGGTTAGTACTTGGATGGGTGACCGCTTAGGAACACCTTCGCCCACAAATTTCGGAAGGTACCTAGGCACGGTGTAGTGGCCTAATATGCCCCTTTAGTCAGTGTGACAGAAGGGCCCATTAAGGCTCTGCACAATCGGCCGGCTGTACGACTGGGGTTTTCCATGGTTTCCCGTGCAGTCCTAGCCCGAATGGGGTACAGTTAAGAGTAAGACGGCCCATGGTAGCGCAGATAAAAATTAGAAGAGTGAAGTGGGAGAGGCAAAGGCAGATGAATGAGGAGCCTATAAAACCGTAATGGTAGTAGGAAAGAAATATAAAGAAAACAAAATTCAATTTCTTTGATTCAAACAGAGAATTATACACATCAATAAATTCTTTCCATTCGCCATCTAGACAATGATTTCATTTCTAACTAATAAAATCTTTACTTGTATGAAGCAAGCATTTGTTTACATTTATTAAACGATTTATTTGATATGACAAAAAATACAACTGAAAATTTAACTCAAGTTTTAATGAACATTTTATTAGGAGCTCTCTGAAAAGATCCATTATTTCATTTAAAAACATAATTTCTCGTTTCATTGATACAACAAGAAAATTCTCCTTGTTGAATTAATGATATTTTTGTGTCTGACGTTGGATCTACTTATGTTTCGCTCCTTGATGGTATTTAATTATTTAGAATAATTTTATTATGTGTTATAGGACATTTCACGTAACATAGGAAGCTCTACTATGTAACATTGTAATGCTTACAAAACTTTAGTAACGTTTACTATGTACGGATTCCAACATAAAAATGTTTACTATTTTATTTTCTCCCTGCACACAACAAATATTAAGGTTTAATTTTTTTCATCTTTAAAATGAAAATTGACGAATAGTCTGATATCAGATGCGTTGCCACAAAGCCAATTCCACAATGTTGGAAATTCCTATGGGACTGTTAACTCAATTTCAATAAATTTCTAAAGCTGTAGTGAAAATAAATCCTACAGAACTTTTATTTTCCTTCCAAGTGGAAGATAAAAATTGTCTCCCTTTTATGAACTCCTACAATTCTATCAAATTGAGATGAATGCTTCATCTCAATACAAATAAAACCGATGTAATCATCATAACCCAAAGAGAAGGCAACTCATAAAAGTCCATCATTCTCTGCACCATGAAAATAAATTCCTCTTGATAGTCAATTCGAACGTGGAATTAGTTCATCACTCTCGTAATTCCCCTCTCGTTTTACACTCCCCATTCTCTCATTCAAACAGACTATTACATAAATATAATAAAATCAAAATGAATCGAGTGAAAAAATTTATTCAGTCGTACTGATGGAAGTGGAATGGAAATAGAGTGTAGAAAAAAAATACCCCGAGACAAAAAGAAAAAAGGAAGATAAATGCTGAGTACAAACGAGTCAGTCAGGCAAATGGTGCTCGAGATTGACAATTTTATCGCGTAAAAATTTTCCAAATGGTCCAGCGAGGAATAATTGAAACAGTCTGATCCTCACGCGTCGACTGAAATGTGTAGCTTTATTTCGCGAACTGTACGCTTCGCGAAATTCACGAGTATAGTGGGGTGATTTTTTTTTCTCCTGGCGTTTTTTCCACTCTTCAGTATTGGCGACAGACGATACTGTATACAATGCCGTTCTTTTTTGGGTTTGAACGATTGGATTTTTCGATTGACTGAAGTGTCAAGTCCAAATGATTTTTTTCATTCGAGAGCTTTGGTTAGAGTCAAAAGGGGATAGGGGCTGACAGGTCTAGACGTTTTAGAGCGGAAGAGACACTCTTTCACGTCACAATCCATTAGTATAAGGACCAATCTCCTGGGTTATCCACGTCTAGTCATTTAACACTTATATCCTGTGATGCGTCATATGTCTCTTGAGTCATTCGACGAACACTGAAATTCTATATGATCGTGTATAGCATCCGGTTTGATCTTTTAATCTCAAGAAGTGGATTGATGCGTTGGGAGGAATAAACCAGTAATAATTTTCTTAATTTAGCCCTTTCGAATGACTAATAGCTTCATCACCACGCATGTACTGAATATTCATATATTCTACATCTTAACAACTCAAAATAAACCCTGTGAGATCGTCTAGACAGATGCCCCCGATGATCCCTCGACAAGATAACCATTCCCTTTAATCACTAATTTATATTTACAGCCGTGAGCTCCATGCGACCAATCGACAACGCCAACTGCATCCTGGATCAAGATGTGAGAACAGTAACCCATGAGAACACTAACATTCATGATCCCATATCCACTCAAATGCCAACTGAAGGTAAGTGAGATGTCAGAAGTGGCCCATATTTTCTATTTCAGAGGGGGGTTAATAGCTCCACTTCGAAAATAGGTTCTCGTTAATTCTCTTTGGGCAAGTTTATATTAATTCCATTGTGAGTGACTTTAATAAAATTTTCCAGCCTCCATTTACGAATGGACCTAACAAATTTTTGATTGTCACAATGCGAATACTTGATATTCTCAGTATAGGAATGAATTCCTATTGATATTTGGGGGTATCCGAGCACCTCCCACAGTGGAAATTTGGATCGACTGCACTGTAAATTTATAGATTTTCAATCGTCAGATTTGGTGATGGGATTGTATGAAGAGATTTTATCAAAATTCATGATTGATCAGCGTTATTTCAATTGTGTTTACCAGAAAAGTACTTCATTCCTTTGATATTCCCTCCGTAAGGATATCCACGTACTTTGGCTATTTCTCCTCCAGCGATGGTATATTTCAGAACGAGTGGCATGGTTTTTTATGGAAAAATGCTTTGCTACTTTTGCAGTGGAACATCAGAGCTTTCGTTTGAGCCCCATTTGACTCTAAGTTTCCAGAAATTTTACAATGATTTTATTATTTAAACTTTGCAGGTCTGAATTTGAATCTCGATATTGTACCGTTAGAAAACATTTTTTAAATCTGAAAAAAAAATTACAGAGTTTACTTTTGGAGGAAAACTCATGAAATAATAAAAAAAATAGCACTTTTTAATTTTATGAGCGTTTTTTATAAATAATTTATAAATAATCAATTTTCCCCATAAAAATCATTTGCTCGGAATCGTAATAAATTTATTTTCAGAAATTTACCAGAAATCGATTTTATGCCTAAAAAATGAGGTTTCCGCAACTTTGAACAATTTCAATTATGTATTTATAAACAATGAATGTTTAAAAAAATCAATAATTGTGTAGAAAACGTAATTTGAATAACGCCGAAGATTCATCACTTTTCTCAACTTTTTCTCACGCAATTTAATTGTCAAATTTGAGGATTGAAAATGGTTGACTCTACAGTGTGGTCTGTAAAAAACTGTAAAAGATTCTTGGATATCCTTGAACTTTCAGAAATTGTGCCTTTTGACAAGGAATTAATTGCTGGTACAATTCAGAATATAAACAATTGCTTCACGATTTCGAAAAACATTATCTTTAAAATAAGAAAAGGGTTGTATATAAATAATTAATACTGAAAAAGTTGATAAGCTTTAAAGGTTGAGAATTTCTTATCATTTGATATATTTTATTTAAAAAACGACTTTGTAATTTTATCCGATTTTGAAAATGTTTTTTAACGTTTTGAAATGGGGAAATATTAGACCTTCAAACTCTCAACAATAAAATCATTGCGGATTCTTTTGTATAAAAAAAAACTTGCCAAGATACTTGGGTATCCTGGAATAATAATAATTTGTTTCGGTCGAAATGATGCACTTTCAGCACTTTTTTCCTTTTCATTCTGGATTTCTTTGATTAAATTCAGTTCACGTATGTCGCCTCTTCCTATTGTTTTCCCTCAGCTCACTTCAGTTTCGGTTCTGGTCTGTAGATATTACGTAATCTACTAAAAATATCAAATTTTCTCAGCAAATACATTTGAATGCATTTTTGATGCACGTCACATCCGCAAAAGAGTCCCAGAAGAAACCCAATCTCCCGAAATAAAAAGTGAAAATCTCATTCTCGTATTCCAGAATCACTACCAACGAGCACAGCGGAGCACTCAAGTGCGTCTGACAGCAGTGAGCAACAGAGTGACCCGCAGACCCAGCAATCAGCCCAACAATGGCCCGCTGTACTCGAGTTACAGGCATACAATGTGGCACATTCAGTTGTTATACCGGCGTATCACTTCTGGAACTCAGAATTCCATAACAAGCAGCCAGCCTTCATAAGACTCAATCTTACGTTACCCTGGGGTGCCAACTTCGCCGTATACGGTAGGCGAAATGTTGCACCGAGTGTAACACAGTATGACTTCGTGAAATTTGTTCGCGGTGGCAGAGTGGATCAAAGATTGAAACGTGAAGTTGTACCCGGGGCTGTCAGCTTTATGGAGGAGTCCGTATTACACGCTGAGGACATCGATGCGAATCATGAGAATGATGGAACAGTTTACGAACACGTGCTACTCAAGAGAACAATACACGAACCAATGTTGGTTAATGTTAGCTTGCTTCAGTACCTCGACACTGGTAGGTGGTTCCTGTCTGTTTATAATGACGAACTTCAGCCGTACAAAGTTACCTTAATCATCACTGAAGCCGAGGGCGTCTCCACAACTTGTCCAAATGACTGCTCTGGGAGGGGATCGTGTTACTTGGGCAAATGCGACTGTATGGATGGCTATCAGGTGTGTAATTTAATCAATTATATCTTGCATCTCATTTTTTCTTCACGTCAGAATAGAGGAGGGATTTTTTTTCAAGGGGACACTACTATGAGTTTTAAAAGTCACCGGCGATTGGAGTGAGATTTCTCATACATTGAAAATCGATTATATATGTCTAAAAACGAATAATTAGTGCGAAAAAATTAATTGTTTATTATTCGTTTGCCCCGCACACGTTTAAAATGTTAAAAATAGTCCCGGGCCTTCAATTTTTGAGCTACAGAGGTTTCTTTTTTTTCAAAATTTTTAAAAAAATGTGTGCAATAATAATTACGAATTAGTTTTTTCAAATTCGACTCCTACACAGCTAATTTTGTTTTGTTCAAAATAAAAATTTGCGTCATTCATGTAAAATGGGCAGAAAAATTATCCTTAAAATATTTAAAATATATTCTCAATTCTTTCGAAACATTTTTCGGACTATTTAACATGAATAATGCAATTTTTTATTTAAATAATTACGAAATTAGCTATGTAGGAGTTGAATTTCCAGAAAGCTTTTCAAAAATTTTGAAAAAAAAGAAACCTCTAGCTCGAAAATTGGAGGACCTAGACTATTTTTAACATTTTCAACGTCTGCGGTGCAAACGAACAATAAAAAATTAATTTCATTGCACTAATTATTCATTTTTAGACATATATAATCCATCTTCAATGTATGAGAAATCGCATTTCAACAATGACTTCTATTTCACATGGTCGAAAAAACCTTTCTACCACATATGATTGCATCCCTTGCCTTCCGCTCGGGTTGCAAACTTATATTCGCCAGAAAAGTTTTTTGGGCCTAATGACGAAATGTACTATGGAAATATCATAACCCCCTGAGGAAAAGATAGTTCAGTAGATCTCGAGATATTACACGATTGTAAATTTTTGTCGTATTTTTCCTTCTGAACCCCCATGGAAAAATATATCTCTGGAAAATATATGAGTCCTATATAATCCATACATGTCGTACATGAGGGAATATATGCCAAAATATAGGGCATATATGCCGGTATATGTGAAAATATGATGAATTAGCCCATGATTGTGTATGAATTACAGATGAAGAATTCTATACGATTTCATATAGAACAAGTTCATGACTCATACATCCAATATACATTTTCCCATACATTTCACTCCAATAGGGTATGTCCCTGCATGGAAATATATATAATAATATACAAAGTGACGTCAGGACCTTGTTTACAAATTGTGAGGAAATATAGAATGGAAAATCAGTAATTCAATGGCATAAGAATTATGAAATTACGACAATAAATTTTTGAATAGTGAGCGTTAGAATTTTTCAATGATTTACCCAATAACTACATCATGGTTGGGTCCCGCCATGCCGCCATGATTGAAAATGGCGATGGTACGACAATTGTAGCGATATTTACTACGATGATTTTAGCGGCATTATGCGCGATAGTTGGACCACCATTATGTGCGATAGTTTGAGCAATGTTCATTGCAACCATGAATTTTATCAACATGAAGAGACATTAACTATCATATCAAGTCCCATTGACACCGGCGTCATCGTTCCCAATCATGACCGTAGTTAATCGCAATGTAATTGGCTGAAGTATTGAAAAATTCTAATGTTCATTATTTGAAAGTCTATTATCGAAATTTAGTAATTTTTGTACCTTTGAATTTCCAATATTCTATTCTATAACTTCCTGAAATTTGTAAACAAGGTGCTGGCGTCACCCTGTATATGATGAGTATATGGGTGATATATTCAACCTAGATTTATACAAATATTTTTCACCTTCGTATATGTAAAAATATATGAAATACAGGAATATTATATGAATATTCAACGAATGACGTTTCTAGTGAAATTTCAGGAAATCATGTCATACTTCAATGAGAAAATTAGTGGAAACTAAATTTTAGTTCAATTATTTAGTATTTAAATTATGAAAAATTCCGGGCACAATACTCTTGATTTTCGAATTAAAATTCAGCTTTTCACTTTTTTGTCAAGTTTACAAATGTTATCATATGAAATTGAGAGTATTGTTTCTAAAAGTTGACCGCTACTGAGCGGAAATGAGTTGCTTCTCCGCCAATTCCACATCATAGCCTCTAAAAGGGCCTCAAATTGTCCTTTGAGCACGAAGAATATGTTCAATTTCAAGGATTATCCCCTCAATTCAAGGAATAATTTATTATTTTTCAAAATAAATAATTGATTTGAATCAGCAGTTATTAAAGTTCTCCATCCATTTTAATTGGATTTTAAAACTAAATTTTCTGACAATGCGATAAAAAGGCGTGGAATTAAATTTCCTTTTTATTTAATTCCGTTCCTCTTTTTTTCATGTCTTGTTACACTCCACAGGGAGCCGATTGCAGTAAAAGTGTCTGTCCGGTGCTCTGTTCATCCCACGGACAGTATGGCGGTGGTGTCTGTCACTGTGAGGAAGGCTGGAAGGGTGCCGAGTGCGATATTCCGCTTGGTGATTGCCAAGTCCCCGATTGCAATCAGCACGGACAGTGCGTGAGGGGCTCTTGTGTCTGTAACCCCGGATGGAAGGGACAGTTCTGTGAAGAACGTGAGTTACATTCACTGGATTTTCTATGTTCGGGAAGGTTCGGTGGGTAACGAAAGAGAGGTGATGAAGAGGAAAAAAATGAGGATGAATGAGTCTCTCGGTTAATTAAAAGAATTACCTTTTTTTCCCCCCCGTTTGTTTTTTATCCCACGGATAGTCCCTGGATATTGAATTGACGAGATTGATGGTCCTTCGATGAACTTTCATTTGCTTTACCATCGCTGTGCTATCTATTCCTGCGCCGGATATCATATAGCCACAATTTGCCCCGAGACACCATTAATTATCTCACAATTCAAGCGTACGTCCTGTCCCAACGTCACCGTCTTTCTCACTCGTACTGAGATTTCTTCAGAGAATACCGCGCGTAGATTCAAAAGATATTAGGAGTAAAAGGCTAACTGCAACCACAAGCATATTCGCTGTTCCTGTAACACACTGGTGTCTCTGTACAACGTGAAACCTATAATTAATGCTGTCGGGTAAGTGGAGAGGGCTTTTGCTGGTACGTTGAATTTACATATGGCTACATAACATGGATATCCTGGATTTTCCACCTTAAATTACCATAAATATTCCGTAAATTTTCCTCATACGTATCACTCTGTTTCTCGGATGTAACCCAGCCACTTTTTGCTGCTCCCATGACCCCGAAAATTGTTGCTACACTAGAGTTTCTGTATCGATCCTGTACCGGAAGACCCGTGACAATGACGAGAAATTAATGGCACAGAGACAAGGATGAACCAAAATTGCCTACTGAGCCCACTTCAGCCGTAGCAAAGAGATACTTTGATAATAAGTTTAATTCATGTCACTCTCAGATTTAGAAACTACGCGGAAGAGAGAGAAAACACACGGGTTTGTGGCTCGGTCATAATTTAAAAAGTTGGCCCATTCATTCGACTCGAGACCTCTCTGTAATCAGCATGAGCACCGCTCCAACGTCTCTACAGCACGAATACTCAGCCGTGACAGCAACTTTTCCAGTTATCTAACTGTATGAAAACCTCCACAATCCGATGGAATAGGTTTTAGTGGCTCAGCTCTCGTGGATATAACATATTCCCAAATAGGAATTTTAATTTTTATGTCGCGAACTTTTCTTACTTCGCATGAGCCATATTAACCCGAAACATAGTACTACATTTCAAGTTTCAGTTAGGGAAGTTGCTTTTGAAGGCATTAAAATGACGGAAGATGTTTTGCGTCCTCTCTTGATGAATCATGAATGAGAAACTTTGCTTTTGTATGATCGCTAAGTGTTACGTATAACGAAATTTTTTTATTGGAAATTCTATTAGTTTTTTGCCGATTCTATTGAAATGTACCACAGCTTTCCTGCGCGTTTTTGCTTCTGAATGGAAGCTTTGTATTTGGCCGATTTTTCGATTTTATAATTTTGATTGCAAATGATCTAGAATGTTATGAAACATGAAGAAATTATGTTTTTAGCGTCATGTCTGTACGTATGTATATGACAACTTGAGGTTTTGGTGATTAATTTTGAGAAACTTCGACATAAATACGGTGAAATTTGTAGATAAAAATCTGAAATCTTATGCTCATTATAGCTATGATTGAGCGCAACTATGTCGCGTTGTTTCGGCCCCATCAGTCCAATAGTTCCTGAGATATAACAACACTGTTAGAAAATTACTCTTGAAATTTCAAATGAAAAAGCTTGAATTGTTTAACAATGACAAAGTTACATGAAATTTCTGTATATTCCTTCACTGATGAGTTGGTTAATTTCTTAAATATTCAAGTAATTTTCAATTTTCAGGTCCATACGGCACTGAAAAACCTTGAAAATTTTGAAAATTCAGGCAACAATTGTTCTGAATTCTAAATCGATTGAAAATTGAATTGTATGTGATGTTTAATTTTCACGGTGAATTTGAACATTCAAGCTTTCATTGAAAAATCAATGATTGCTCAGCATGAAAAATCCAATTTTCTTGAATTTTCAAGATGAATGAAAAAATTAGTGAACGATTTAATTTGAAATTGAATTCAACCTCACAATATTGAAAATTCAGATGACGCTGTGACTCAAATTTCCAGAAATTTTCAACAGTGAACTTGTTATTTGAATGCAAATGTTCAATAAAAAATATTGTATTTTGAATTAAATTCAATTGGAGACAATATCTCAATACAGTACATAGTGTACATAGAAAAAATACTGTGGTATTTTTTAATACAGTAGGAATCCAATAGAATTTTCATCACACTGTCCGTAAAATGTTGTTTTACGAACACTTTGTGTCCGTAAAAAACTATGGCGCAATTTTCGGGGTATCACGGACCCCGATCTACTTTGACACAGCCCTTTTACACCCAAACAACCCTGAAACGACAATCGTTGAGCGCCAGGTCGTTTTTACCAGAACGGCCAGTGGAAATGAACGGAAAAGTCCTAAGCTCCAATACGGTGCCCCACTAGTTCAGAACGTAGAAATCCATGTTGGTTACTGAAAGAGCTTAAACTGTAAATGTGAATGAGGATATCTCAAATAATTACATTTACAGACATTGTGAAGAAAAATTGTGTTCCTCACTCGGCCGAAAACAACTTTTCTGACTGAGTGTGAGGATTTCAAACCGAGACGAAGCCGAGGGGCGAAAACAGCTATTTTTAGCGACTTTGCTAGGTTTTTCTATGAAATCTTTTCGTACCTCGTTCAACCAAAATGTCTTCAATTTCACCAGCTGACTGTCGAGATCCATCCTGCAGTAGTCACGGTGCCTGCGTTGCGGGAAAATGCTACTGTAAAGCCGGCTGGCAAGGAGAGCGATGTGATCAGGTGGACCAACGAGTGTACAAGTGTCTTCCAGGATGTTCTGAGCATGGCTCCTATGATTTGGAAACAGCTCAGTGCATATGCGACGATCACTGGACCGGTCTCGACTGCTCCCAACCCAGATGTGCACTCCAATGTGGTCCACATGGCTCCTGCGAGCAGGGTGAATGCAAGTTAGTATCAATGTTTTATAAAGCCCACATGGCTCCTCTCTTCATTTTTTCCTCCTTCTGGAGTCGTTGGACCCTCTTCAGATTTTATCAGATAAATAGAGTTGGACGTCTGTAGACTTCAGTGAAATAATCCAAGGAGTCTCATTGTTATTCCATGATTTATACCGACGTTTGAATCTTTTTCAGATGCCACGACGGTTGGACGGGCACCAAATGCGATCAGAAACCGTGCGATTCCCGCTGTGCTGAGCATGGACAGTGCAAAAACGGCACTTGCGTCTGCAGCCAAGGCTGGAATGGGCGTCATTGTACTCTGAGTGAGTGTATAAAGGCATTTTAGAGTATTATAAAGTTCAAAATGCGAATGGCATTCTCTATTATCAACTCGTGGTTACTATCTAATGCAGAGGATACATTTATTCGCATCATAATGCTCAATGTACTCATGATTTGTGTTGTTTCATTCTGCCAGCTGGTTGCGAGAATGGTTGCAGTAGACATGGACTGTGTACGCTTCATGATGGCGAGTGGAAGTGCGCTTGTGCCACTGGATGGGCGGGCAGGGACTGCAGTATTGGACTTGAGATGGAATGCAGTGATCAGCTTGATAATGACAATGGTATGTTCATTTATTGTTACAGCGGTTTCATTACAGCGAATAGTGATATTTATTTAAATTGAGGGAATGGATCTGTTTGATCTTTACTTTGTTGATTCAACCTTGCTCACATTCAAAAGCTAATGGAGTACACTGGTATTGAATTGAATGGGGATATCACTTTTAAAAACAAGTGCGCAAATGCTTTTTCATCACTTGGTGAACCATTGTTTCTGATACATTAGCAATTTACTTCCGAATAGATATTCCCGCGTAGATCGGTATCCTCAGGGACTTGTGGTCCTTGCCTGAATGTTATGCGAGGAATTAAAAATGTAATTGAATTGAAAATGGAGTGGCCAATTAATTGATGTTGAGTAAATTGTTTACTCAAGATAAAAAACCTTTTTTTTCATGTTGTTAGATCTTTGTGTCGCTCATGTTCTCCGTCGAATAATGGAGATCTTATAAAACATATGAAGGATTTGTTTCTGACGGATTTCAGATGTTTGTTTCAGCGTGATCCCTCTAAGACGGACGCTCGCACTTGTTCGAATTCGTCTCATTTGAAATCTCTCCTAGACAGATCCTCTTTCATCGCAAGGGATTCTTAAAACCTCAATTTATAAATCATTCAGAAGTAATTTAAAGTAGCTCTACCCTTAGGAGGTTAAATTTCAATTCAAAGATTTTTGAAAACTACAATAAATCGCCTAAAAACTCTGTGTGATTCGGAATCGTAATTTTTCACCTCATTTAATTGTCGTTCAAGTTTTTATAAATGAAAATGTTGAAAATTCATTATTTAACACAGGGTCTTATGTGAAAAACGCTAAATTTGACACAGCTCCAGTTAAAACAAAGATTAAAATCTAATTTTTTTTCCTAAAAATGAGAAAAAAAAATATTGGCACCTGTTCAATCACGATTTGTCGTTTAGTTTTTTTTATTATTAACAATTTCTAACCAGAATCACGGGAGACTGTGAACAGGAGTAGACGTGGCAACGACGGCTCGGTCAGTTGTCACTTGGCGGGACGTCTCTCACCCTTCACATTACTCTACAGTATTGTCACTAATTTTTCCAAGCTAGTTAATTGAAAATCTACTTATTCATATTTTTATTGAAAACAATTAATAATGAAATAATTCTTATGCTTATGTCCTTTATAAATTATTTTAACCCCTCACGTACGGGGTCCCTAGAATGCGTCTTGTCTTACGACGACACGCCAATTCCATTGTTTAATCAGCAATAACTCGAAAACAGGTGATCGAGAAAACTTGAAATAAAATGCATTGGATGAATTGAAATTTGAAATAAACGCCCTGAGAATTCTATTTTTTCCGCATTCAAGTCACACCGATTTATCCTCCAGGACAATTTTTCGCCGAGATCTCCAAATTCGTTGAATTTATTTATAACAAATACATTATTCAATGAATTGAAATTTAACTTGTGCCATTCGATAGGAAGGTCATCAAAGTATTTTCAGCAAAAATTCCAAAAATTTTCTGTAAAATTTTCTCGACAAACGAGATGATTGAATATGATTAAATCGGAGCAAAATAGTATTTTCATCCACGACCTTTCTTGATATAAAAAAAAAATATAAAAAATGCATTGAGAAAAAAAATCAATGAACTCACTCCACAAACAATTCTATTGACTTTCCAAATTTTTTTTCCAAATGTCAATATGTGTCTTAGAATTCGAGAAAATAATTTTTTACTATTGACGGAAAGGGTCCATACGATGTATGGACCCCGGCCGATAGGACAAGTTTGTGCCTCCATACATCGTATGGAGCCCGTACGTGAGGGGTTAATAATTTAGACATCATAAAAATTATTTTTAGAATCTTTTTTTTTTCAAAAGCAGTCAACGAGTCCAGCCGTAGGGGTAGAGCTACTTTAAAAGTATCACTTGAAGACATTAATTATAACGCATTCCATGAGTCTGTAACAGTCAATTCTACTGTTCATGCAAATTGTGACATTCGAGCATTTTCGAAATTCAACTCAAAGGTGAAACTATAACTTATTCTATTCGCTGTGCGACAATTGTCGACAGTTGAAAGCACCCCCGTAAGAGGCCCTAAACCTGAAAACAACTCTAAGAGCGCATCATAGTAACACGTTGAAAACCAAAACGAACAGTTTTCGCCCAGCGGTCCGTCTGGACACATCGAATACTGAAATTATTCATTTTTTCAAATCGATTCTCCCCTACGAAATACTCAAGTGAATCGAATCATATTTTCCACTTACATCAAACTCAATCAGTTCAACTTATTACATAAATTCATTACAAAAAATATAAATATAGTACATAAATTTTGATTAAATCAAAATAATATCTCATATACGCATTTTAACAAAAAATATTGTTATTATTCAAATGAATAAATTTCAAGAAATGTATTTCAAACAAACAAATACCTCCAGATAATCGAAACAAGCATCAGCAACAGAATCACTTGTAAAAATCTCGTATGAAAATCTTTATTAAACAACAAAACTCATTACGAATTACTGACTTAAAATTTAATTTCATAAAACAAAACATAAAATCAAATACAAGTCGTAAATAAACTGGGTGAGCTTAATCGTTAGCTTAGGAGTATCGCCCTGTCAATGCAAATCCTTTAGATTTGTTGAAAGATCTCCGTCCGACGGAGAATATGGACAGGACAAAGATCCCATTGAGCTAATCTATTTGACGAGCATCTTTTTCATGCCATCATCTACAATCTAAATTTATTTATAGATGGTATGGTGGATTGCTTCGATAGCGAGTGCTGCTCGCACCCAACGTGCGCCAAACACCTCATGTGCCTGGTCAGCAGTGACCCCGTTGAGGTGCTCTTCCGTAAACAACCACCTAGTGTCACAGCCTCATTTTATCAGCGCGTCAAGTTCCTCATCGAGGAGAACAGTGTCCAGAGTTACGCCCACACAGACGAGTACGGTGAAAGGTAGGATCGACTCTCCACATTAATTCAGATTAAAAGTGATAACACGAGTAAAGGAATAAGTAGGAAAATGATTTATAATGAAACGCTTTTTTTATCGAAGGATTACATAGGTAATAATGCTATGCTCAGACACATCTAGTGCCCTAGGAGTTGACGGTTTTAATTCAGGGAGAATTTATGTAGTTCTCCTACAAGCCTAACCCAATCCCTTGAAATGTTTCTTTAAAGAGTTTTAAAAAAACCTCGCGTTTATGTTGTTAAAACTACTTTGGAACAGTTAAATGTTCGAGACACGCGACGTTTTACGAGGAATAATGCCTGATAATTCATGTGATATTAACAAGATAATCAAATTATATCGTCGTTTATACGTGACTCAAAGCGCTCACAACGGGGATGCGACAACAAAATTTTAGTGAAAAAAATATGTAGAAAAATCGCATATTAATTCATTTTCCATTATCTCCGCGCAGTAAACTCAATAAAAACGCTCAATTGATGGGGTACAAGAGTGATAGAGCAGAAATAACTCGAAAAGGAGCCACTCGAAGATACTACTCCGAGTTAAAATTTATTCCACCAAATGTACCGAGAAGAAATGCGAGAGCATCATAGGACCTCTATGTGGCATTGAATTCCTGACTGGTAAAATTGGGTATCGAGTAAACAGGAAATCTCGCGAACCAAATGCGAAGAGCTTTTTCATTCTCCGATATTAGCCAATACCCTCTCTTCGTCGACTCATGCATCCGTCCAAAGATACGAGGATCGAATTGCCACAGCGATTGAATTAATCCGAGAGTACGAAAAAACGGCGAGGGGGTGGGCAGGGGGAATCTCTTTGATAATCGGAATCCGTCTGGGTGCCAATATCTCTAAGCTCTTGAATTTTGTCGAAAAAGGTAAAATGTAAAATGCCACGAGTAAGAATAGAAGAAGCGAATGGAGATAATAAAATTCTGTGCAGAGGAAAAATTTTTCATTCTCATTTTGACGGAGTAAAAAAATTAAATATGAAAACTAATTGAATTTCCGAGAAATAACCGTTGTGAGTGTGACAGTCAGGTGACAACGACGTTCATTCGGTTGAATTTTAATTTGCTAAATTTTTGAAAATGTCGAATTGACATACCCCTGACCACCACTCAGAGATCCACACGTCAGTGGCAGTGGTGACGGTATAAAATCAGAGCCCCCTCCCCCCCAACCCCTCTTTTGAACCACTACTTCCCCTCAAAAATCATCCTATTCCCAGTGTTTTTTCACCCAACCTCCTGGATAAAAACCCCCTCCTCCCCCGAATGGCAGGTGCATCGACGTTGGCCCTCGGTAACACTGCCCCGAGCAAAGGACCTATCTCATCTCTGGTCATTTTCTATGTTCTATGTACTTTATTTTTACGTTTGGAGTAGATACGTTTTACGTCTCGTTTCTCTGTGTTCACTATCTTTTGTGGAGCTGAAGAATCGAGTCGCAAGACGAGAATCAAAGTCAAATTCCATTTGAATGTTACATTCCTGTTCGACAAAAAAAAACTTGAAGGGGAGAATAAAAAAGGGGGTGGGGGTTGGAATTAATTAAAAAGGGGAGAATTACACGTATGTGAAAACTACTTTTTTTATCAAGGACGATAATGAGGGTCCTTTCATCACACACACTGACACATACTAGTAAAACTGGTGATTTTCAAGTTCAAGGGTGAGTAATGAGGGTGAAGACCCAACGAGGAGGAAAAAAAAAGATTAAAAAATTGAGAGAGAATGAGAGATGAACAAAAGAGAAAAGAGGAGGAACCATGATTCGAGGGAGACGGTTCTTTACTTTCGGCACTGGTGACGAGGTGGCAAAAAACTTAACCCCGGTGGGATCTTTTTTTTTTCAGTTTCATTGTATCAGTTTTTTCTTTTTTCATCATCCCACCGTCGGTCACTTGTACTCTTTGCCTCCTGCGTTCGGGGGATTCGTGTAATTTGTCTAGTGTTTGACCCTATGTGTGTACCCTACCATCACCAAGACCACCATTCACCCAACAGCCGTGTTATGGCTCTGTGTTACGTACAAAGAGAGAGAAAAAAGTGAATGACAAAGGAAAGAAAAAAATATATTGAACCAAAACTAAAAGATAGAATTACAGTAATAACTTTATGCTCACGAGGCATTTGCTTTCGCGTAATAATTTCAATATTAGCTGATCAGTCAAAAAAACTATTCAGTATTGAAAGAAGTGTCGATAAGTCAATATAAGTGATAAAGAGATGAATAGAGAAAACGCCTAAGCATTCCTATGTGCACATTCAATCATAAATTGCCCATGATAGATGCTCCGGCAAATACCGAAAGGATTTTTCATGGTAAATTAGCTGGATTCGAGGCAGAGCAAATACATCAACCGTCCAACTGTGATGAATAAAAAAAATATATAACCATCGAGTAGCCGCTGAATTCACTGAACTGAAAACAAAAAATATTTACCGAAACATTTTTGGTTGATTTGTCAGCTCTGCAGTCAATCAAACGAGTACTTCTAACATGGTAGACACAAGTTTGAAATTAATCGGTTTATCATTATTTATCATTTCTGTATAGTGTCGTGTATCTATTTGTCCGCTGCGTATATAAACAGAAGATTTATCCACATTATATACCATATGGTTATTATATTACATACTTATGTATATCAGTGTGCATTATCTGTACATGGTGTTCGTAGTCCACAGAGAGAATAATATGAAATAAAATGAAGGAGCGATACAGAAGCCCAGTTGTACTAACAGTATGTACAGTCGTTTGTATATATCGATCGTTTATGTTGTTTCCCTGGGTAAAAGACAGCTTCGACGCATTCTATTTGTCAACACGTCGTGTTATCGTCATCGGACTGCGTCTAGTCGAATCGATTCAACTGTTGGGTCAATCCCGGTCATATCCCCCGCTAGCTCTTCATGTGCGCATAGTTTATTTATTTATCTCATTCCCTCCTCTCACGTTTATTTCCTCAGCTTATGTTAAGCCAATTGAAATGTCAGAATCAATCAACTGTGCAGTTGCATTTTAATCAAATTGAATGTATTAAACGAACCTCGGGCGTGGAAAGTTTCTCCGGGGATTTGAAATTTGAATTCAACAGTTAAAAGAAAATATAAATAAAGGAAAATTGTGTATATTCTCGGGGCTTTGCAAAGTACCATTGCGCTTGACGTTGCACTGGAAAACCCACTTACAGATGCATGGAACTTTTCAATTGTCGTGGTACTATATAAATTGAAAGGGGGGGGGGGAGCTTTTTCCCCGTACGACTGAATTTGAATACCTCGGGTGGAATTGTAAATGTAACAACGTCGTTATCGTTAAATTCAATTCACACGTTGGGATTACCCGTGTGTTGCTAGAAGGGAACATTTGAAATAACGGGGGGATAATTTTTGGTGGATGGAGGAAGTAGTAGGGTGTCGGGTTTAGTCAGACTATTGAGTGGAGACGATCGATTGGGAGTTCATGGTGGTTCAGTATCGCTTCTTCGTTTGAATTTTTATTTTAGTCTCTGGTATGTTTATTTCTCGTCATTTTTTATGACGGTGTGAGGAGGTTGATAATATTGACTCATGTTGAAGTGTTGAGGCAGACTTATTCAAGGAGCCTAACGGGAATTGATTGATAACGGTTATGAAAATTGAAATTGTTGGATTGTTTTTTCGTTCTGTTGTTATTCGACAAGAAAAGATGGCGCCTAGCTACTTTCATTGTATGTTGCGTAGTTTCCAACTTGTGTCTGTCATTATGTAACCACTCTATGTTGAATGGATGGTGAAACGAGTGAGTGAGCGTTTATGTGACTGATTGGGACGAATTTTGCGGGTGAATCGAGCGAACGATTTTCGTGTGTTTGAATGATTGAGTGTTTGGGAGTATTAAAGTGATGTGGTGTGGATATATTTGTGGATGTGAATGTGTGGAGGGAGTGAGTGGGGTGTACAGTGAGTACGCTTGATTAGTGTGTCTACGTCTATTGTTTCTGTAATGACGTGCAGAGCATTGCAACGCGGGGGAATAGTTTGACAAAATTGAAAACAAGGTGTAAGAGAACGATTTTATTCTCTTATTACAAGAAAATAGTAAAGAAAGTGGAATAACCACTGAAGAAAAATGAGAAAGACCTGTTCGTGGAGGTAAAGTTGGGGGACAATTTGCTGCTTGAATAATTCAGAGTTCGATTGAAAGTTTAAAGAGCTAAAGTCATGGTTGTAACTTCAATTCTTCTAATAATTCCCTCAATGGGAAGGAAAGAATCATGAAAAAAAAATACATTCATTTTCCCGCGCGTGCAATGTTGTGGACGAGCATCGTATATTTTTTTTTGCCCGCGCAAGCGGGTTCTGTGACCGTGGTAACGCCCTTTCTTCTCGTTGGTTTTTTCCCACACGTAGTGCGTTCTGGAGTTCCTTTACACCGTGGTAAGTTGCAGCTCAGCTCTCGCTAAAAGAAAAAAAAGAAAATCTTTAAAAAAAAAGAGAACGAATCACTTGAGAAATGCAAAAATTATTTTACGTTCATGTCCATTCATCTATCTGCATCGTCGCTCGTTACAACTTCATCTTACATGTTTTTTCGTAATGGCTCAATCATTCTTTTGGCCTGCCTCTTTATTTACTCGTTATCTTCATATCTCCATCAGATTCAAATAATCATTTTTTCCAAATATTCTTGTTCTTGCTCTATTTATTCTGTTACTTTTCTGTTGAATATCATTTTCGTTAAATCATCGATTTGTAAAAATTCATTACTGTTATGTTGCCAATCTCGAACGCTTGTTATTTTCACAGTTTCAATTTAATTTGGCTCTCGATCTATCACGGGTCCCCGAGGCTCCGTCCGCGTTGCTCTACCACTCACTAGATTCACTGAATTTCGGTTGTACGAATTAAAGTTGCATTCATTTGATTTATTCACCGAAGCATTTACCCTTATTTCTCCATTTGATGATATCACATCCACTCAATTAGTTCATTCTAATTGAAAATGAAAAATATATAATTACATTCGGAATAATCGATGTGGCCGGAGCTGCGGGCCCTCTCACGCGTACACATTCATTACGATATTTGTACGAGCTGTTTCTCTGTGTCTATCTGTGATATGTCGTCAGAATGTTGTTTCTACTTTGTTATTATAATTTTGTTATGTCTTGTCTTCTTGTCCTCTTAGTGCGTCTTAGTCCTATTAGTCATGTTCGTACCAGATTATCTCTGGAAATAACAGAAATTATGAAATTAAGAGAAAAGAAAATTCTTGGTCTTGTCTGTTTTATGTTGCGAGGCTTGTAATTCTGTGTAATAATACCTCATGATACCTTGTCTATAGTGAAAATCCTCTTTTATTTAGCATTTAATTATTCATTTAATTACACACCGCTGATATAATTGTATTGCGCGCCAAATAACACTCAGATCTATTCAATTTTACGTTTGTTTCGTTAGTAATAATATACACGATTATTACGCCACCGCAGTTAGTCTGTATCAAAATATTACTAAAAGGAAAAGAGATGTTTTTCAAAAATTCTACAAATCGGCAGTAAAGTGGAAAAAATACTAGTCGAAAATATCAAGTATTCAATGAGAAAGAAGGAAGAAAGAAAAAAATACATACAACCCTGATTCACCCTCAATCCTTGTCCCTTGTCTACGTCTGTATCACCGTCTATAATGTGCCAATTAACCCTCTCCACTCAAATCAAAGACTCAACCATAAACAAACAAAACCCTGTGTCTGTCTCTCCCATGTCTATTCCAGCCCGAAGCAAAACCGATCTCAAAAATGAACAAAAAAAAATCAACACCAAATTACCCAAATAACCCAATAACCCGATAAATTACCCGTATCTTATTAACAAATTGCAAATTAACGGATAACGAGGTTTCAAGCATTACCTCTGATTCGATATAGATACGAGGCAAAAAAAAATTCAAGAAAAGTCGTAAATAACGGAGTAGCAATTTTCTCTGCTTGAAGTAATTCCGAATAAAGGAATAAGCATACCGATAAATGACTCTCATTCAGCGTTCATTTTCATCCCTGAAAAATAAAGTAGAAATACCTCAGGGATGAAAATAGATGAGTGGGAAGATTTAATTATAGCATCAACAAAAAAAACATAATTCAACGAGGCATGTTGTGCGTAATTATCGGCAATAATGAAACTTTTTTGTCAAATTGCTGGTGACATACGTCGCGTTCGTTAATGGAAACAAAATGAAAAGTAGAAACGGCTGAAACAGAGAGAAATAAAAAGTAGCACATAACGAAATAAAAAACGTCACATTTATAATTATGAGAGACACTGTTGATTTTCGTTTCAAAGTTTTATTCTAGGTTGGTGTCTTTTTCACAAAAAAAATAATATGATAATCTCAATGTGTTTTTAAATAATAATTATCAGTTATTCTTTTTGTTGATTCTTTTACAATTGATTCGTTATGTTTTGAGATTATGATTAAAAGTAGTTGAAGACAGTGCCTGCCACTTTGCTGTGCTCGTACTTGGAGGATCAGTGCCCCCTGGCCGGTTTGATCCCCAAGTTTATCCAGAGGGCAATTAGAGCACAGTTCAACATGACAAGAAAGGCGAAAAAGCAGTTGCTGAAGAGTTTATCAATAAAGATTAGAAGGAATGCATTGATTAATGTGAAGATGATCAGTCAGTGGGGGATATGATCCTCCAAGAACACCAATATCTCCCCCACATGTCCTATTTTTTTTATCAAGCTCCTTAGGGGCCAATCGATATTCGAGGATATTATATATTATATATATTTCTACATATAAATGCATAATGTTTGTATAGCTTGTTATGTATGCAACAGAACAAATATTCCACGAGCTCGGGATATTCGTTAACTGATTCTCTCATTTTATTGTTTCCATATTTTTCCTCACATTTTCATTTTTCATATTTTATTTACCTGAATATATTCTTTTCGGTTCTTCTGAATCAATATATCCCGTTGCACCATGAATTATATTCACCCATCAATTTATTTACTTGCATATCATATATAACAAACTCTACAACCGCAATATATATCTATCAATTTATTACTGTCTACATTTACCTTAATTTTCATTATATTCAGCACACACATAAATTATTGCTTAAAATATTCCAAAGCTTTTATATGAACATTCCAATTTCATTCGCCAGTGATCCAATACCCATGAGAACATACTTTCTTTTTCATTACATAAAATTTTAACATTTATATACATACCTACATAATATATATGCATGGAAATTCTACTTCATGGAACTCAAACTCTCACTCCACCGACCCTCTCACCTCTCGAATCACCCCCACCAAGCCCTCCTCATGCCCTCGGGATGAAGAATTTTATAATTCATACGATTGAATATTCTCACCGACTGGTTGGTACAGCAAAAATTCACCCCCAGCCCGTGTATTTCCCCTGCGTACAGCAGCGGAGAGGATGGAAATTTTCCACAAGAGGAAATTCGAGAATAAAATTTATATAGATATTTCGGCTGGCACTGGCATTGCCACACGTTTTCATTGTCCTCAGTTGTAAAATCTATTTGTTCCGCTCTTCTAGCGTCAATTCTGATCGAGTGTTGCCCATTTCTACCATCAACAAAATGTCTCCCCTCCAGAGCGATATACTCACCCATTCGAATCAGTCATTTTTACCACCCAGCTCTTGTGAGAATATTGAATCGTATCAGCGAAAATCCATTTCACCGAGAATGCCGATTCTCTTCGTACGCCTCAGCATAATCTGCGAATGACGAAATCATCCCCCCCCCCAATTTTTTATTTCCTTCTTCGCTTGATTAAAAAGAAATCTTCACATCTTCGCTCTTGCGTCCCTAACACAAGTAAATCCTTCGCTATAGTGAAGCAAAGGAGGAAGGAGGCCCTTCACTCCAGCATCCTCAGTCGAAACTTAATAAACTTGATAACGAGATCACAAGTGCATCATTAGAAATTTCAAGTGCCTTCCTAACAATGTGTACCGCCAACATTTTTCACTTGCTTCAATTCTGAAAACGTACAAATCGAATCGGCATTCACCCTTCAGTACCACCCTGCCCCCTCAGCCAAGTAAACTTTGCTAATCAAATATTAAATAATAGAAGTTCGATGTTGGCAAATGCAAAATTCATATTTAATATAACGAATAGAAAAAATTCCTCGTCTACGATGCTATATCTGAATTTTGTAACAGCCGAGTAGCCGTGATGCGGGGCCAAGTAGTTACGGAGCAGGGGCTTGGAATAGTAGGAATACGAGTTTCAGTCGACAGAAATTCACGATTTGGATTTACCCTGACGCGAGCAGGAGGATGGTAAGTAACATCATCATATTATCCATTGAATGTGCATAACCACAGTTAATTCAGTCTGTCAACGTATCTTAGTGATAATGTTCCCCTTCCACTATCGTTGCGAGTCCATCGGTTGGGATTTGATAATAGGATTATGGTTCCATTGCCGTGTGATAATTATTTGAGAGAGCGATCGATAGATACAGTCGGAAAAGCTGTGTTGGACGTCGTCAAAAGCTACTGGATCCGATTAATGTTGAAAGCTGCTAATTACTACTGTACTAACAATAAGAGTATTACCCGGATATTGCGTTGGTATACTATAAGCCCGGGAAACTAGCTCACAAAAATATTTCGAGCCGATTAAGTCTTTTTAGCTGTCTTCGGGGAATTAAATCTCGTTCGGGACGATAGTACAATGTGCCTGCGTTGATTAAATAATAAAAATGACCCCGAAAGGAACAAATTCAAAGGTCTGAGATGACAATCATTGAACCACAATTTATTAAATTTGAACGAGGGGCTGGTCACTTAGGAAATCACTGAACCACTCGATTGAAAATCAAGGAAGAAATCACCAGAAATCACTGGAAATCAAGTGATTTTCATTTCCGATGGTGATTTCTAATAATTTTTTGGAAATCGTTGGAAGTCAGTAGAAATCATAAAGAAATCAGGTGATGTCAGAAAATTATTTCTGATTATAGAAATCATCAATGAAAGTCAAACCCAAATTTTTTATTTGCGCTCACTCACATTATCCCGTTTGACCCTCATGACCTTCTTATGCACACATCACTTGATTCTTACTATCACATCCATAAGGCCCTTCTAAAGTCTTTGGTTCCCCGAATCTTACCCATATGCGATTATGGACAGATGCTCCACTTTGGCCCCGAAATCATGATTTTTCGAGTGATTTCTTGAAATCAAGAAATGATCAGAATCTACTAGAAACCATGAAAATCACGAAAAATCAAAAGAAATCATGATTTCCAATTCTTATTGAGAAATCACATAAATCATTCCAGAAATACTGAGGCACCCGATTGAGGAGTGACCAGCCCCTCGAATTTGAATGTTCGTTGAAAAGTATCGATAAAGATGAAATAAGAATACACGCAGAAAAATGGTTTATTTGGATTAAATCAAGTTTATTTGAATTAAATAAATGGTTTATTTTATTCTAATAGAGGATCTATTTGATTATTGTTGCAATAATTCATATCTCCATCAAGAATTGAGATACTCAAAAGAGAAAAAATACACTAAAAATTTTTCATTTCAACTATTTTTTTTGATACGTCAATAAATACTATGGTTGCACACATTTAAATAATTCATTGGTTAATAATTTTTTTTGCATCACTCGTTCGAACAATAAGTTACTGATTCGGATTCACCACATCGAAAAACATCCATTACAATCATTTTTAGCCATTAGCCAAAAATTGCATACACGAATGCCCTCAGCGTATGAACTATAAGTGAAGTTTATTTAATTCAAATGAATTAAAAACATTTTTTTTATTTTGTGGGTGTAGGGCGTGTAACAATGATCGAATTCGAACCAGAGCTCAATTCGGAGTTAGATTTTTTTTTTCATATACAGGGTGATCCAAAATTGATCTGACATATCGTGAGGGTAGCTCAGGGTGATTATTTAGAATCGAAAATTCTAATGAAACTTTTGTCACCGGCGCTTCGGGCTAACCCGTCAGTAGGCGCCCTATGAGACTTTCTCTCACAAAAATTTTTACTCTACAGAAAATATACCTTAGAAGTGCAAATATTTTGCTGAAATTTTTTAAATATCTCCAGTAACTATTCTAGTTGACTCTGGTGGTGATAAAAGTCGATGCTCGGTCAGAGTTGAGTACATTGATAGAATGATTCATTTATTTCAAACGAGATTCGTTAACTATTAACGAATGGTAGAGTTGAATATGACCAAATGAATATTGGTTAATAGTTAACGAATGGTTCACTTGAATGGCGAAAGTCAAGTCAAACAAGGCTCCTCAAATGTACATTCCAACCAAAATCTATTCGTTAACAATAACTAATTCGTTCTATCAGTGTAGAAAATAGTATATTGTGTCATTAGGACCGTAGACGGAGGTTTGCGATGAGTGCTGCTAACTCACACGAATCGCAAACCGACGTCACGGTCCGTATGACACATACTATTTTTTGTCATGAAGGCCCGTTGAAGGTAACGATTTTTCTCTCTAAATTCTAATTCTCTTAGAATTCTTTAATGCCTAAAGGAGGTTAGGCGGTGTATGAGGTGAATTTGAGAGTGAATTTCTGTGGTTCCCGGTAGCTTAGTCGGTAAGAGT